TCTTGCTCCATAAGGGTGTCTCAGCACAGAAATTCTCACACCATAGACACAGCTGATTCTCACAGCCAATTGGCTGGAGGTCAACTCCTCCCAGTGATACCTACACAATCAAGGCTTAACTACAACAAGACTGTGCACAAAGACCACAAGGGGGTGCACCAAGAGTATCCACCTCAGGTAATTGGGGAGGCTGAACCACTGGGCCCTATAGGACACCTAGCACACAAAGTCACTCTATCAACACAGGGAAGCAGCCAAATTGCGGAGACAAAGAAACAGGTCACAAATGACAGAAATAGAGGAGAGCAAACTACAGGATATAGAGTTCAAAACCACGGTTATAAGGTTTTTCGAGAATTTTCTAGAAACCGCCGATAAATTTAGTGAGACCCTGGAGGATATGAAAAAGGACCAACTAGAAATTAAGCATACACTGACTGAAATAAAGAATAATATACAGAGATCCAACAGCAGACAAGAGGATCCCAAGAATCAAGTCAAAGATTTGAAATATGAAGAAGCAAAAAATACCCAACCAGAAAAGCAAAATGAAAAAAGAATCCAAAAATATGAAGATAAGGAGCCTCTGGGACAACTTCAAGCGTACCAACATCTGAATTATAGGGGTGCCAGAAGAAGAGAGAGAGCAAGATATTGAAAACCTATTTGAAAAAATAATGACAGAAAACTTCCCTACTGGTGAAAGAAATAGACTTACAAGTCCAGGATTCGCAGAGAACCCCAAACAAAAGGAATTCAAAGAGGACCACACCAAGACACATCATAATTAAAATGCCAAGAGCAAAAGACAAAGAGAAAATCCTAAAAGCAGCAAGAGAAAAACAGTCAGTTACCTACAAGGGAGTACCCATACGACTGTCAGCTGATTTCTCAACAGAAATTATGCAGGCCAGAAGGGAGTAGCAAGAAATATTCAAAGTGATGAATAGCAAGAACCTACAACCAAGATTACTTTATCCAGCAAAGCTATCATGTAGAATTGAAGGTCAGATAAAGAGCTTCACAGATAAGGAAAAGCTAAAGGAGTTCATCACCACCAAACGAGTATTATATGAAATATAATTCTTTAAGAAGAGGAAGGTATTCTTTAAGAAGAGGAAGAAGAAGAAAAAGGTAAAAATAAAAATTATTAACAGCAAATACATATCTATCAACAAGTGAATCTAAAAATCAAGTGAATAAAAAATTTGATGAACAGAGTAAACTGGTGAATATAATAGAATCAGGGGCATAGAAAGGGAGTGGACTGACAATTCTTGGGGGGAAAAGGTTGTGGGCGGTGTGAGAAGAGACTGGACAAAAATCGTACACCTATGGATGAGGACAGTGGGGGGGTGAGAGCGGAGGGTGGGGTGGGAACTGGGTGGAGGGGAGCTATGGGGGGGAAAAAGAGGAACAACTGTAATAATCTGAACAATAAAGATTTATTTTAAAAAAAAGTGTCTGAGAATTTACTATAATTCCTTCATTTTACATATTAGAATGTCAAGCCCGGAAAGGTGAAGTGGTGGTCCCAAGCCAACACTGGTGGGTGAGCCACAACCAATATACGTTTCGTGAGTAAATGAGTGACTCCCACCCACGTATGCCAGTGAATGTCCCATGTTCTATGCTTTTGTAAACTCTATAGTTTTTTTGGTTGAACTGTGCCTCCCCCCACTACCCCCTCCATCACCTGAAATGTTGAAGTAAGTCAGAATGTGACCGTTGGAAAGCAAGTCACTGTACATGTCATTAGTCATACTAATCTAGTATGGCTGGTGTCCTCAAAAAAAAGGGGGAGATATGGGTATAGAGAGGGACTCCATAGAGGAAAGGCCACAAGAGGAGACACAGGGACAGGCGGCCATCTGAAGTCAGGGAGAGAGGTCTGAGACAGCTCCTTCCCTCCCAGCCTCAGAGGAACCACCCTGCAGACACACAATTTCCTGCCTACACCCTGACTACAGACTTCCAGTCTCCAGAATTGTGACACAATACTTTCTGTTAAGCCACCCAGTTTGTGATGCCTTGTATGGCTGCCCTAGGGAGCTAAAGGGTAGAGTACTCCATCTAGTTAAGCAAAGGCAGTATCTATGTAGATTACATAAGAGAAAAGTGCTTATCTTGCTCTTCTGGCAACAGATTTATGTTTAAGACACTTTCCTCCCTGAGACACTCCTGAGTTGAGCCAGCATCCTGTCTACCTGCAGGAGGCCCCTCAGGAGACAGATGTAGCCAGAGCTCCCGTCCTCACCTGGTCTCTCTTTGTGCAACCCTGACACAGTCAGGTCCCCTTTCCTCTGCTTCCTTCTCTTCCCTTGAAGTGCTCAAGGTACGGACTTTCAAGTTTGCTGGTGTTCAGTGAAATTTCCCAAGCACCAACAGAAGGATTTCAGAGTTCCCTTGTAATATTGCATTTCCATGACATACTGTCAACTTCTCCGTAAAGCTCTGTTATGTATGCTTGTCAACATGGTTACATTATGTGTGGGGTCAGCCAATGCAAAGGAAAACTGCCTGATCCAGGAGACGGTCGCCATTATGGTAGAAGGAAAAATGTTTGATTGCTTTAGGTCAGAGTCCCCCCACATTGGCAGCCCATTAGAATTACTCTGAGAACGCTTAAGTAAAAGAAGTCTACACCCACCTAAAGGCTTTGGTGTCGGGGTCTGAGATGGGGAATGAGAACTTGACAAACTTCAGTATGATTCTACAGAGAAAGCCTGGTTTAGGAACTACTGATTTAGGATATTTGGCTTCTGTAATACATTTCAGCTTAATTTTCCACCTCTCCTATTTACATTCTTTCAAGCAGACTTCCTGAGTGTACTCACAAATGCATGCAACACTGAAACAACATCACACACACTACTTG